GTCCCTGTTCTAAAATGCCCATGTGGGGACAATCTCTCCTGCATGCCTGGTCTGCTCTGGCCATGGGTTCTCGCTCCCCCTTGGGCTCGGACTGCAGGCCTGAAGGGGCCTGGCATGGGAGAACTTCCCAACTCACCTCTGGCTCCTCCAGGAGACTTCTGCTGGTTTCAAGCAGTCTTTACTGAAGATATCCATCTCTTTTCTTTCCATAACTGTGTATCATTATTATGTGAGGAGGTTTTCCAAAATACTCATTCTGATGCACCAACCCTAGAGATTCAGCTCCACTAGAATATTTCTCTAAAAATTATGGGTTTTGCCCAGAATGTGCATGTGTGTGCATGACGAGCTTGTCTGCCTCTCCAGAATTATAATTAGAGAGCAGAACAAGTTCTCAAGGAGCATTTACTCACCTATGATACTTAAAATGATCCCTACTATGAAGCTGTTGCTAAAAACCATTTAGATAAATTCTAATAGATGTCTTGTAGAGGTGTGGCAATTTTTCCTAGGCAACAGTGTCTGTCTTCTAGCACATGTCCCTTAGATATCTATTTGATGACTGACTACCCAGGCTTCTTTAAACTCTGACTCTGTTTTCTCTGAACATGGTTTCATGGTTGCCAAAAAATGCTGAAGAAAGTGTGGAAAACTCATACCTGCTTACAGACTATCTCTAGCTGGCAGTGATACATATCATTTATTCTCATGGTCCTCTGGTCCAATCTAGCCACCCTAGATTAACCTAACTTCAAAGGAGGCTGGAAAACATCAGAAGTCCCAAACTATTTGGTGATCAGTATGGTACCTACCATACTGAGAAACAGAAAAAACTAAGGTTGTGCCAATTGTGACTACACCTTCTAAGTCACCATTGACATGACTGGGGTCATTGATTTGGCTAATTCCTACCTTAATCACCCCTACCTTAATCTCCCACAAATCCCTGTAGAATCAATTTGTTATTTTCTAAGTCGGGTGTCAAATTTCTGTCATAGACACTAAAAAATATATGGTCACTGCACTGAGAAGGTCTATAGTCATTTCTAACTGTTGGGTACCCTGGAAGCAGACAAGTGTGTGCATAAACTGTGTGCCTTGTGTGGCAGCCATGAGAATGCACCTTGTAGACCCCTAACTTTAAGGAACATGAGTAGTGAAGGATCTGAGCTGCTGCACTCTGAAATGCATCAGTGCATTTTTGTTGAGGCTACACTGGGTGGTTTGCTCCCAACCAATGGGAGAACTTCATAAAGATACTAAGGTAAACATTCCTCTGGACTCACTGGTTGGAAGCCACTGTGTTTCCAACAATGTGACATCTTTACAAGGGAATAAGTATCTCCTCTTCATCCTATGAGAGTTTTCTCACCCCAGGACAATAAATAATGTTAAAGCCCATTATAACAAAGGTAGGGGTGTGCTATCTAAATAATAGTTTAGCTGCTAAAATCACCAGCTATTTGTCTGTATCCTTCTGACTTATTTTGATTAGCATAATCCCCTTTAATTCTTTCCATGTTGTAGCAAATTGAAAAAAAAATCATCATTTTTATAGCTGAGTAGTAGTCCACTGCATATATCCACTTACCTGTCTTTGGTCACTTAAGGTGTTTCCAAAAGTTGACTATTGTATTTACTGTTGCAATGAACATTGGAGTGCATATATCCCTTCAAGTTAGTAATTTTCTGTCTTCATGTTGATACATAGGCATGAAATGGTTAGATCAAAAGGCAAATAGATTTTTAATATTTTGAGAAACCTCCATACTGTTTCCACAGGAGTTGGTTAGCTACATTCTTATTAACAGTGTGTAAGGATTCTTTTCCTCTTCAACATCTTTTCATAACTAAATAATATTCCATTGTGTGTATATATATATATACACACATATATATGTGTGTGTATATGTATATACACATATGTATATGTATATATATGTATATGTATATATACATATATTCTTTATTGATATCTATCAGTGGTCAATTAAGGTGTTTCAAACTGTTCATTAATGTGAATAATGGTGTGATGAACATATATCTCTTTGAATTAGTGTTTTCATATTCTGCAAATAAATCCCCAAAAGTAGAATAGGTGAATCAGAGAATTTATATTTTTAAATCACTGAGAAATCTCCATACTGCTTTCCATAATGGCTGCACTAATTACATTCCCACAGACAGTGTATAAAAGAGTTCCCTTTCCTGGATATTCTCTCTAACACTTATTGTTTTCTGTTTTTTGGATGATAGCCATTCTGACAGGTACAGGGTGATATTTTATTGTTGTTGTTCTTTGCATTTTCCTACTTATAATGGATGACGAACACATTATCATGTACCTATTGTCCAACCATATATTTTTTTCAGAATGTTCATTCAAAATCATTTTTAAAATCAGATTTTCTGGGCCTCCCTGGTGGCGCAAGGGGTTAAGCACTGCACTATGAAGCAATCCACAGCCTCTGCAGCACATGTTTGATCCCCGTGGCTGGCCAGGGAGCAACCACATGGCGCAGCAGACCTCTCCTGACTTGCCTGCTGCTCCCCTCAGCAGTGTATTTCAGTGGATCTGCCTGTTCTGTTCCCTGCTCTGTCTCTGGTGAATCCTCTCACCCCCCACACCTCTGGCCTGTACCCCAGCTCTTGTATACATAAATAAAATAAATATTTAAAAAAATCAGATTTTCTATTGTTGAGCTTTATGATATATGTGTGTGTGTGTGTGTGTGTGCCCTCACATATATATATATATATATATATGTCATTAACCCTTGTTGAATATATGATTGCAAATATCTTCTATTCATCATTAATTAGGATGGCTTTTAATTTTAATTTTAATGATAATTCCTTATGCTGTGCAAAGATTTTCAGTTTGATATAGTCCTATTTGTTTATTTTGGCTTTTGATTCCATTATTGTTGATATTAAATTCCCAAAGACATCTCTAAGGCCAATGACAAGCAACACATTAGTTACGTTTTCTTTTATGTATTTTATAGTTCAAAATTTTGTGTTCAAGTCTCCAATCCATTTTTAATTAACTTTGTATATTGTGTTAAATAGTGGTCTAATTTTAATATTTTTCATATGTTTGTCCAGAGTTTCCAAACATCATCATTTCTTTTTTTTTTTTTTTTTTTAAAGATTTATTTATTTATTTATACAAGCACTGGGTACAGTCAGAAGCGCGGGAGGGTGAGAGAATTCACCAGAGCCAGAGCAGGGAGCAGAGCAGGCAGAAGGACTGAAGTACACTGCTGAGGGGAGCAGCAGGCAGCAGGAGAGGTCTGCGCGCCATGTGGGACCCTCCTCCGGTGGCCGGGGAGCAGCCGGGGATCGAACCGGTGCCACAGAGGCTGTGGGCAGCTTTGCAACCCAGCGCTCAACCGCTGAGCCACCGGGGAGGCCCCTAAACATCATCATTTCTTGAAGAGGCCTTCCTTACTCCATTGTATGGTCTTGGCTCATTTCTTTAAAATTAGTAGTTTAAATATGTGTGGGTTGATTTCTGGGCTCTCAATTCTGTTCCTCTGATCTGTGTGTCTGCTTTTAGTCTCAAATCATGCTTTTTAAATACTAAAGTAACAGGAAAAGTATTAACATTTTTTTTTAAAAACTAGCTTTATCCATTTTTGTTTTGTTTCCACTTAAAAATTAAGAAAATACAGTCATTGGATTTTGTGTATGCATATTGCACATAAGCCATGCAAACACAATTATTTCAAGGAGGAACAAATGAAAAATTTTCTGGTAAGAAAAATCCTTGCAAAATTTAAATTGTCCAAAACACCGCCCCATCCTGAACATTAAGTCAGGTCTATATATCACTGCAAGTTCATTCCTAGTTAATTCAATGTGTGAACTCCATTCTGATATGGAAATATTGTTTTTATTAAATCTTTCATTTAGTCTACTTAGCCACAGATTTCTGTGAGAAGCCAAATTAATCTCAGTGGAATTAATAATGTGAAAATAAAGTTGTTCTTCCATGTTCGTTTCATTGTTGTGATATAGTTTGCCTGATATTTAAGTTACGAATCCATATGGAGTGATGAAAACACATACATACAGTTCCTATTTAGTTTTTATAGTTTCTTTTACCAAAAACATTTTCTAAGAAACACTACAGTAGAAGACCTGATTTAGAATTTTTTGTTTTACAATATTTTTTTTAAAGAGATGTGCATTTTCTTTCTTTTTTTTTTAATATTTATTTATTTATACAAGCACTGGGTACAGTCAGAAGCATGGGAGGGTGAGAGAATTCACCAGAGCCAGAGCGGGGAGCAGAGCAAGCAGAAGGACCAAAGTACACTGCTGAGGGAAGCAGCAGGCGGCAGGAGAGGTCTGCGCGCCATGTGGGACCCGCCTCCTGTGGCCGGGGAGCAGCCGGGGATCCAGTGGGTGCTGCAGAGGCTGCGGGCAGCTTTGCAACCCAGCGCTCAACCGCTGTGCCACCGGGGAGGCCCTTTATAATATGTTTTAATGTATATGCATTAATGTGTAGTTTTGACCAAAAAGTTAAATTAGAAAACTGGCAGTAGACTTGGTTAAAATAGGCAATTGTCTGCAATTAAACATAATTGTGAATTTTTATTTTCTATTTTCCTTCACTACAGTAATCCAGCCCTTGCACCAGAAATTTATGATAAGGACTATAATATCACCACAAAATTCACATGCTAATGCCCTACTTCCAGAGGAAAAAGTGCACTTTACATCAACTCTTTCCCTTTAATGCATTTAAAATACCAGGATTTTTGAAAAATAAATCTCAACTGAGCTGGTTCTCATGTGCTTCCTGTGTGCAGTTAGACCCGTGTGGATGCCCCCGGGGTGCAAATTTTGGTGTTTTGGGTCCATAAAGTTGGGCAGGCTCAATAGCAGCGTGCTCCACCCCTCCTCTTCTCCACTTCATCTCCTGCTGTGGGGCCCATGCAGCCCACCCCCACCTCTCAGGTCTAGAGACTAGGTTCAAGTGCCCGCGAGCTGTGACAGTTCAGCAAGCAACCGACATCACCATGGCATGGCCGGCCGCCCACGTATTGCTGTCTTTCTTGCTCATAATTTCAGACCTGGGCTGGCGGACCTGTGCAAAACATTGTAAGCCATGGACTATGCTGCATCAAGGGTCCACCCATGTCAGTGCCCCTGGGAGTGGAGGCTCTCACCTTTCTTAGAACAGAACTCCAAACCCAGCTGAAGAGAGCCCAGCGGAGAGTCAAGAAACCGCTCAGGTTCAGCGTCTGGGTGGACGTTCTGGTTAGTGGGCTCAGACCAGGACCGAACATTTCACTTATCTGACCCTACATCCGCTGAACAGGGCACCCGTCTTCTTGGGAGGTTGGGGATTGACACCCTGGAGGAGATCCAGACACCAACACTTTTTGACCTACTCGGGGCCGAAGTTGCTTCCCAAAGTATCTCTGGATAGTGATAGGGTAATGCTCCCACTTTAGAGGAGACTTTACATGGAATCCTATAAAGTTTGACTGTGTTGGTGTGTGTATATATGTGTGAGGCGTGGAAGGAGGGCTTGGATTCAGAGTGATATGCTATGAGAGAGCAAGTAAATGAAAAAAAAAAAGATGCTGTTATATACCCTGGGGAATGTTCACACCTCTTTTCCTTACTGCAGATTCTGAAACATCACTTCTAGAAATTACAATACCACGGAAGATTCATACTAACAGGATTGATGGCGAGGAATCAGAAATGCATGTAATTAAGAAATGATTTTTTAAAAAATATATCTTGCTTTTCTTGAACTATATGACCCAAATCAATTCATGCATATTCCTTGTGAAGCTTTGTGTACTAGTTACAGTGTTAAAGAACTGTTTTAACTAAATGAGAGCAGGTGTTTTGATTTAAAAAAATTTTTAAGACCCAAACTCAAAAAAGTTCCCCAAATTCCTATCACACAAAGTTAATATACAAAGCTGGAATTTTTTTTCTGGAAAATATGTACATTGAAATATTTTACATGTGACATCATGTTTACCCTATAATAAGAGTCTAAAATGGCAATATATAAGAATAGCTTTATGCCTATATATGCATATATAAATCTTTGTGAAAATTATAGTAATGTTATTTTTAACTTGATTAAAATAGTAAAGCATGTACAGTTGTCCCTCCTTTATCCTTATGATTTTAAAGTAATATAACTGATATTCCAATTGGTGTCCTCGTACAGGGAGAACGGATTCTTACTAATGTATGTGATTAGATGTACATGAAATAAAAATACAAACTTCCCAAATTCTGCAGGGATTAACAGGGATCTAAAAAAATACAACTCATCTATAATACACATAGACAGATCAATACAGAGATGCTATAATTTCACTTAAATTTTTGCTCAGCAATCACATACAAAAACTCCTGTGGTCTAGTTTTGGGGCAAGGAAGCCTTCATATAGCTCTTTTATGTAAGGGAAAAATTCTCTACAGATTAAAAGGAGAAAAAAATGTCAGAATAATCTTGGAGATGCTAAGCACAAATTTTTTTCTTTCAGTAGCTGTAAGGTTACAGAAAACTGAATATGAGATTAAGAAACAGTCAATGAAAGAGTAGTGAAGCTAAAGTGTCTAGGAATTGCAAAGTGAAGAATTGTTACTAGAAAGAATATAAAAATGATATTTTGGAGAGAGAGACAAGAAAATGAAAGGAAAATTAGATACACATACTATTAGAAATGAGAAATATACAAAGTTGTCAATAAAAATCTTACAAAATGTATGCCTATAAATAACTGCTTAAACAAAATCATTAACTTCACTCCAAAGAATTAAATATAACAACAAACCTGACACAAGATGAAATAAGAGGTTCTTTGTGGAAGGGGAAGGAAGAACACAGAAATGTGAAGTGTGGAGCTGGCATTAGAATTAGGGAACTTATTAAATGTGGACTGTCCCAGAAAAGTTGTGACTTTGTATGACTTTGTGTGAGGTAGCCCTCTTTAAGTGAGGCAATTCCTAAAGAGGATAGAGACAAAGATATCACTTCTGTTAGCGAGGGCATACTACCTTTAATCTTACAAGGGCACTTATATTGTGTTATTTATTTTCAGTTTACTTGTGTTAGAAACTGCAAAGTACAAAAAAAGACAAAATCAGAATTTCTTCAAAGATTCCTCAGAATTTCTAAATGTACTAATTTGAAAGTTTCATTATGGTACTTAATAAGTGCTGATGACTAATGCTTTTAGTTTAAAAATTGATTTAGACGTCTTAATTTTATTTATACTAAATTATGATTAATTCTGTCATATATCCGAAAACTGAAGAAACTTATATATGTGTGTATATATACACACACATATATACTTTCATATGTATGTATAATTTTGAAAATTCATGATTAAATCTATGTTTATACTAAAGAGAATATACATGTTAAAAAATACAAAAAGAACATTGTAAGGATAAGTGTGATATGGTAGTAGCACTAGGAACTTAGGGGGAGAGTGGGTGAAGCGTGTGTGCATGTTGAGGTAGAAGTTGTACCTCCCTAATATATAGGTTTGTAAACAAATGATTAATCAATAAAATATAATATAAAAATTTATGTTTTTGGCTTTTTAGAATTTGGAATTTCTAATATTTACTTTCTCTTTGAATACTTTTCTGTAGGTAACTTATGCCATCAAAATTGGCAGGAAAATATACACTTTCCATCTTGAAAAACAGTAAGTGACAATTTTTTTTTGTCATACAATTTCTTTAATTTTTGCAGTAACTGCTCTAAATTGGGCCTAAAAAAGAATATGAAGCACATATTATGTCTTCTTTGTGATGCATGTCAGACTAGAATTTCAGTCCTCATCTTGAGATTTTTAATTTGATACGAAACTAAAAAAGTAACCTGAGAGTGAAGATTTACTAGCATAAGTCTTCAAATGGTGGAAAAAGACAAAGGGGAAAGGAAGATACTTCCCTGATTACAGCAGACTACTTTGCTATTTCCTGTAGAAGCAAAATGTATGCATTTGAGGATTCAGGGTTTATAAACTTTAAAACTAAAGATTTCTTCTTTTAACTATGCTTGTCAGATATCTGCTAATTTTTCTTTTATATTTATGTATTTTTAGTTGTTTATTTACCTATCCCCCCCTTTTTTAAATTGAGGTAATGTTGACTTTGGGAAGTATAGAATCCCCCTCTTCAAGTGTTATTACCATAGTGCACTCAGTTTTCACTTCTCATTTCTTCTTCCTGGAAACTGCTCCTGGAGTACCATTTCCACCACTTCCACTCACATCCTCACAGCTTTAAAATGTGTCTTGGCCCTTTTGCCAGAATTTATATCCAGGCACTTGTCCCTAAGCCCGGGTAATTCAGTGTATTTCTTTGAGTATATGTGGATATGAACTTATAATGTCAGTTTTTCCTGAGAATTTCTTTGATTTTTGTTGTTTGACTTTTAAGAAGAGGAAAAGTTGTAAGGTATGAGAGGCAATGAGCTGATAGGTAAAGAGAAGGCATGTGAAGGGAAGTGCTATCTGAATGGAATAAGTCCCACTTCCACGTTGGCGGTGAAATGCCTCCTGGTATTTTGAATCCTTGGAAAATCCCAGTCTCCCTACAGTCAATTTTGTTGTTACTGTTCTATAGTAATCACCATCCTTTCTGTAATAATATTATAATTCTGTACCATGTTTATAGCAAAGTTGTCTAGAGAAATCATTTAACTCAAATCATGAAATTTGATTATAACCAAAATGAAAATGTATACACACATTGTGCAAAAATGAAAAGTGATGTTTAAGACTTACATAAAATAAAATAAATTGTAAAAATCATGAAATTTGAGAAAAAAAAAGGTATACTGCTTCTAAACAAAGGATTTAGGAAAGATTCTGTGCTTCTACTTTTTTTCTCTCCTTTTGCTAAAGAAAAGGCATGCTCCCGGTAAGCACCATGCCTTTCCCCAGCTCCAGAGTGAAGACAGAATACAGCTAAATCAATGTTAAACTTGTGAAGAACACCCATTGTTCTTTTAAGGCACTGCACATTTGGGATTGTTTTGACATAGCCAAACAGTGAAAACTGATAAAAGAACATACAGTTATTCTTGTTCTTATCAATCCATGGCTTCTTGTTAACAAATATTTTAACTAAAATATTTAAGCCATGAATATTACTGATGATTGAATCAGTGAAAACCTGGAAGCCTTGATTTATACTGCATACAGCATCCATACTGTTATCTGAACTATACTAGTTAGTATTTTGTCATATATACAATATAATAACAAAAGGAAGCCAGATATTGGAAAGACAATTCCACTTAATTTTAGGATGTTTGAACTCAAAATTTAAAGTGAATTTTATTTAATGATTCTGGGAGTTACTTTCTTGGTGATATTATTACAATGAAATGTTATGTTTTGACTGAATTAGGTCATTTTTAGATCCCCATTTCTTCATTTATTTATACAACAAATCAGGAGAACTGTATCCAGATTCTTCATTTCTAAAGGTAAGTCTTGCTTTTTCTTGTAAAAATTTACTTTTTTATGTGTTTAAAGTTTTATATGGGAAGAAAAATACCTTTATTTTTCTTGTAAAGATTTACTTTTTTATGTGTTTAAAGTTTTATATGGGAGGAAAAATACCTTTATGTGCCACAGAATTATTAGGCAAACTAATCATAAACCCAAGTTACTCTAAAAGTATATTGAGTAGAACAACTGATTTTTAAATTTGGAACATAAGAATCACATATCAAAAAAAAAGATAATTTAAGCAAGCTGGAGTAACTTGTAGTGGAATTTTTGATGAAGGAAAACTTGTTAACAGAAAGGAGTCACGAAGATGTTAAACATACTCAGAAGTTTTGATTCAGATATCATGGGACTTGAGCAGTTGAGGAAATGGTAGAGATTATAGAAAGGTCACAGGGAAATTGTGTCCTTGTTTGGTTGCGATCAGGGTAATGTTGGCCTCATATAATTGCTAAAGAGTTTTTACTCTATTGGATTTTTTTTTTTTGAAAGTTTGAGCAGGATATATGTTAGATTCTATTTGAAGGTTTGATAGAATTTACTGGAGAAGCTGTCTGGTACTGGGCTTTTGTTCTTAGGGAAATATTTTATTACTTTTTCAATTACTGCTCTTGTTATTGACTGCTCAAGCTGTCTCTTTTATCCTGGTTCAGTCTTGGAAGGTTGTATGAATCCCAAAATTTGTTCATTTCTTCTAGTTTGACAAGTGTATTTGCACAGAGATGTTCACAGTAACTTGTTATGATTCTTTCTATTTCTGTCACGTGCTATCATTTTGCCTCCCTCATTTCTGATTCTATTTATTTAGGCTTTCTTTTCTATATAAGTCAAGCTAAGGACTTGCCAGCTTTATTTTTCAAAAAAACTCATACTTGTTTTACTGATCTTTTGGACTGTCCCATGTATCATTAATCACCCTGTATATGAATTACCTGAACTCACCAATTAAAAGGCACACAATAACATTGGGATTAAAAATTTGTGTCATATATATATATATATATATTTTATAAGAAACCTTTTAATTTATTTAAAAAATTTATTATTTTTTATTAATGAAGTACCATGGTTTTATATTTTTGTTATTATTTTGTCAATATAGGATGTCTCCCTTAGGTGTGGTCATTGTAGCTTTCCCACCACCAAAGCACCCATACTCCTCTGCCCATCATCTGTTGTGCCCTCTCCTGACCCTATTCTCATCCCTCCATCACCCTCTCCCCTCTTGGATGCCTCAAAACTATGGTCAGTTTTCAAGCATTGGTTTTAAATTTTGTCTTTGGCCCTGTTTTTAAGAAATCCTTTTAAAATTGAAAGACAAAAATTTAGTCAAGTGAAAGACTGGAACAAGTTAAACTGTATTCTTTTCCATCTAAAATGTTCCTTACTTCCTAGGCCTTTGTGTTGCCTTATTTGCTTTATTGTTGCTAGGGCACTGTAGGTTTAGTTTTCTTTGTTTATCATGGCTGTACATGGAGCCATGGGGGAAACTGGGTCATAGTTTTGTTGAGAAGTGAAAGCTAGCTGGTCACCTCTGCCTCCTGTACTCTCTCTCCAAAGAGAGCCCTGTTTAGTGATTTAGTTGTCCTAACTTCCTACCCCACTTTCTTGCCACTCTGTTTTGTGGTGGGTAGTGGTCCATCTTGCTTGGTTCTATGAGCAAGTGGGCTAACGTCCCTTAAGTCCACAGGACTCAGTTGACACTACACTGCCAGTCATGGGGGTGTTGGGGAGTTGGGCACAACACTGGCAAATTCATCAGTGAGAATGTGATGATACTAAAGTCTTCTTAGCACAAAATTAACAAAGGAACAAAACTGTTTCTAGATATCACTAAAAGGAAAATACTAGGGGAGAACTTGGGAAAACTTATAATGTGAAAGTTCATGAGGAAGAGAGATTGAACAAAAGATAACAATATATTGAGATATTAAATAGAAACAAGAAATTTCATTTTTTAAAAATTATTTTTTTCCATTTTTAAAATTTTTTTATATCAATTGTTCAGTTTTAAACAATACTTGCTTGCCCCCACCCCCTCAGGTGTAGTCCCCATAGAGTTTCCTTCACCAATGCACCCGTGCACCATCACCTCAGTCCCCTGTGCTCCTCCCTCCCTCCTTCTGATCCCTCTTCCTCCTCCTCCCCTGCAGGATGCCTCTGGTTTGTAATTGTCTATTTGTTGTGTTTTGTACTGTTATTATCACAGTGCAAAGAAGAAATTTCATTTAAGATACTTTTGTGTAGCTTAGAAAAAAACAAGTGAACTGTTTACAATTAAAGTCAAATTAGTACTGTTGATTACATCAATTAGCAGTTATAGACTATACATTCATAAATGTGGCTGAGAAAGAAAAGAGGTAAGATATTTGGCTGTCAAAAATTTACAATTCTAGTCAGAATTATCTGGGGGAGGATGTGTCGTAATATTTCATAGGCAGCGTAGGTTTAAGTGGAAGAGATTGCCAATGGATTATAGTGAAATGGAACATCTGGTGAATACTGTGGCAATGTCTCATTTAATGAATTGATGATGTCTAGGAAGTAAGGATAAAACTGAACATTTACTTATGAATTACTCATAAATGTGTCTTTATACACTTCTGTTTAGGATGATTGCTTTTATCAAGGATATGCTGCAGAGATTCCAAAGTCAGTTGTGACACTTAGCGTCTGTTCAGGACTTAGGTAATGGCGTAATCCAGAGATGTTTTATAGAAAATCTTGTGTTCATTTAATTTTCGGAAACTTCTTGAAGAGTAGAATGAAGGCGAAGAAAATATATATTGTGTTTCTTCTCATGTACATTCTTTCCCTCCTGTTCTTATCAATTTTAATGTTTACTTATCTCTATTCCAGGCTCACAGTCAATTTATGAGAAAACACCTCCACTCACATGAAGAATATTCACATCCCTTAGACCCACTAGAGACACAATAACTCCTAAATGCCATTTAGACAAAGAAAAGTAAAAAATTTGGTTTGAAAGTTAATCCAAGTAAGATGGTATGATTCTTAGATATTAGGCCATAAAGAAGATATTTTTATTAATGTTAATTTTCATTCATCAGTAAATTGACATTGTTTGTTATTTAATTTCATTTTTGAATTTAAATACCCAGGGGATTATTGCAGTTTGAGGATGTCAGTTATGGAATTGAACCATTGGAATCTGCAGCTACATATGAGCATATGCTTTATCAGATAAATAATAATAAAGTTGATTTTCCTCCCTTAAGAGGAAATTATCCAAGAGCCCAATTGGTAGATCAGTCCCACAGGATTCTTGTGAAATCAGAAGTAAGTATACTATTTTTAATGAATGTATTCACTTTGACATTTTTGTATTTAGAAAATTTTTTTAACTGTATTGATTAAATTAAAATCTTGTTTTAAGAATTTAATATTGTTTATTAATATATTTAATAACTATAGTAGATGTAAATACACAATTCAAATATCAAAATTATCATATTTTACTATTCAGAAAATTTTTTGCATATATACAAATTGTGTTGTTGCTGAATTTGCATGTTACTAATCTAATGATACCCACATTTGCTGATTATTCCCTTGTAAGAGCTTTTTGTGCAATACTTTTTTAAAAAGTATTGTGAAAGAAAATGTAAATGTAGAAAAGAGGCAAGAAATTGCACCAAATCTCAGAATCTAGAGATAATCTTCTTAGAATTTTGAACTATTTGTTCCAATTATTTTAAGGTATCTAGTTATAAATGTGGATTTTAAAAAGTATAGCTTTTTCATAAAAATGATCAAACTATATATTGGAAATTTCCTTTCTGCTACAGAAGATGATGCCTATTTTTACTTAATAAATTATGTTTCAATTATTATTAACTTAAATAATATTGGCAAATGTAATAAAATATTAAATATGTGCATAAGAAGGGTAATAGAAATGGATTTTAATGTCATATTCTAGAGTTAAATGCTGCTAAATCTATTGTAATAATTTTATGTGTAGGGATTTTATATTTTTTCACATATACATATGTAAATTAAATAGGCATGTATTTTACAAAATTCGATATAATTTTCTGTATTTATAATTTTACTATAGTCAAAAAATGACTATGAATTACCAATTTTTAACCAATTACACTCTATTTAATTCACTATAAGTACTTTCATTTAAGGATAAGCATATTTTTAAATGTTTGTTTGATATATAGTTTAACTTCCTCATGAAGAATGTTTGTAAAATTTTATATTTTATATTTTATCATTTGTTTAAATAAATCTCTTTAAACCACAAAGTCTCATCAAAATTGGCTATCACATTAAAGAGAGACAAAAAAGTAATGAATGAAACATTTTCATTGCTATTGAAGTACCATTATCTTATATTCTTGCTAGTGTGTTGACAGTATAGGACCCTTCTATGCCCACCCCTCAATGCTGTCACCATCATCCTCCCATCACTGAAGCTCTCATGGTCTTCCTCCATAGTCTCTTGTGTTCTCCCCAGCCCTCCTCTATTCCTCCCCTCTCTTCCCCTCCCCCTCCCCCTCTGAAAGCCTAAGATTGTTGCTTTAATTTGTTTTTGCAAGGATATAGTTATAAATACAGGTGAATAAAACTGTCTTTTTAGAAACTCAAATATAATGAAATATCATATAACTTGACAAAATTTTTATTTTCAATTAGACTGAGATTTGATCTCAAACTTTATATCTGCTCTGGAAACCTCTGCATGTTGCCATACAGCATTGGACACAATGGATCACAATTTTTACAACTGAAATATATCACTATCAAATAACATAAACTGTAAAATTATAATGGCATGCATAAATACTCTTCTGGGGCAGAGGAAAAATCTGAAGGGATGAGCATGCTTTGTTTTCATTGAGCTATTTATTGAAATGGTCTCCAACACTGTTTATGATTCAGACAGTTTCACACCTTTTGTGATAAGTATTACCACGTATCTTCCGTCTTCAGACTGCTTTTGCTCCATCTCAGATTCTGGCAGCTTGTATCCTCATTTCACTGGTCTAAAAGATTTTTCATTTGTTTTAAATTCCTCTGTAATCGAGCTATTAGTAGTATATTGTTTTTACTTTCTATATATTTATAATTTTTCCTATTTTGTTATAGTTGATTTCTAGATTCATGGCACTATGGTTATAAATAGTACTTGTTATAATTTCAACCTCTCTGTCTATATAACTGTGTGTGTATCTTGTACATGATAACTAAAATGACAATTTTTAAAATATTTTATTTAATGTGAACTGTTTTGCAGAAAAAAAAATCAGATGTTGCACTATTCAACAGAATTCTGAAAATACAAATCATTATGGAAAAAGCCTTGGTATGTATTATTGATATATTTCATCATATTTTTGTTTTATGTTTAAATTCAAATGGAATATTATAAACAAGCATCAATTTTTGAACTTTGTTCAAAATATATATCTTAGCAGGACATCAGGAAATATCAAATGCCTTTACATTGACCAAAGAGAACCAATATTTATGGTATTGGTTTCCAAATCAGAAAAGAATTTTAGCAATTGTGGATAACTTTGTATGCATGTATACTGTACTAAAATTATAACTAGATGCAGATACTTGTGCATTCTCTTCAATCACAGTGAAAATCTTTTCCTTGAATTGATTTTTTTTTAAAGATTTATTTATTTATTTATACAAGCACTGGGTACAGTCAGAAGCACGGGAGGGTGAGAGAATTCACCAGAGTCAGTGAGGAGAGCAGAGCAGGCAGACTGATGAAATACACTGCTGAGGGGAGCAGCGGGAGGCAGGAGAGGTCTGCATGCCATATGGGACCCTTGCCCAGGGGCCGGGGATTGAACTGGCACTGCAGAGGCTGCAGACAGCTTTGCAAACCAGCGCTCAACTGCTGCACCACCGGGGAGGCCCTCCTTGAATTGATTTCTATTTTAAAACAAGCTATTTCATTTATTGCTCATTTGGAGATACTTGTTATTAAATGATTTCTCTTATGAGATTTTTGTATGCTTTATATTTGACTAAATAATTGCATTTTATCTTTTATATAAAATGTTATTTTATACTTTGTAAAGTTTCATGTTTATGAAAATGGAAAGATTCTTTAATGAAGTCTTTTATTTATGAAAGTTTTTATTATAGCAATTTTAGCAAAGGCATGGGCAGCAAGTTTTTTAAAAAACTGATTTGTCCATTATCACTGATATTTTGTATAAAGTCAATATGTGACTTAATGATACGGATTTTTCTCATAAAAGGAAATACATATAATTTTTATAAAAACAATAACATAATAGAGTATATGGACAAAATAATAAAGAAAAGAGTGCATATAATTTTATTACTGAAGAAAAATATACTCATGTATTTGTCTATATATTCACACATATACATACATACTGCCATGTATGTATTGTCATATTATAAGTATTCACTGCATAAAAGATCATATGTGCTCTCCTTTATAGACTTTTATAATTTCCCTGACATTAATGGAATTTTTTTTACATAATTAAATTTAATTATTTTCTTACATCATTGTTAATTTTTGGACAGAATTTGAATTCTCCCCTCAGGTGTAGTCCTCATAGTTCTCCAGCCACAACAGCACCTGTAAACTATCACCACAGTCTCTTGTGCTCTTCTTTCCTGTTTTGACCCCTGTCCCTCCCTCTCCCCTGTTGTATGCCCCATTATGTTTTATTAGCTTACAAGTTTTGTCCTTTTTCTGACCCTTTGTTCATTTCCTCGATATTTCACATGTAAGTGAAACCATCTGCTATTTATTTTTTTCCTTTTGACTTATTTTGCTTAGTGTAATCCCTTTCATCAACATTCATGTTACTACAAATGTCATGAGTTTATTTTTGTGAGTAGTATTCCATTATGTATATAAACCACATTTTCTTGATTCATTCATCTATTTTGGGGGCATTTGCATTGTTTCCATATCTTAGCTACTGTAAATAGTGCTCCAGTCAACATAGGAGTTTAGATTTTGTTTCAAATTAGTGTTTTTGTATTCTTTGGGTAGATTCCCAGGAGTGGAATTGCTGGATCATAGGGTAGATCTATTTTTAGTGTTTTAAGGAACCTTGACACAACTTTCCATAGTGGCTGGACCAGTTTGCAATCCCACCAGCAGTGTAAGAGGGTTCCTTTCCTCCACATCCTCACCAGCATCTGCTGTTTCCAGTTTTTTTTAATATGGGCCATTCTCACAAGTGTGAGTTGGTATTTCATTGTGGTTTTGATTGGCATTTCCTTTATAATGGGATGTTGAACATTTTTTCATATACCTGCTGGCCATTTGCATTTCCTCTTTGGAGAAGTGTCTGACCATTTTTTTTTTTTTTGATTGGGCTGTTTGCTTTGTTTTGAATTATGTAAGCTCTTTGTAGATCTTTGATATCAGTCCCTTATCAGTTTTATGGTGTACAAATATTTTCTCCCATTTGGTAGGATGTTTCTTTCTCCATTTTGGTTATTGTCTCTTTTACCGTACAAAAAAGATGCTTTTCTATACAGAAGTTTAATGTAGTCCCAGCTGTTTACCTTCTCCATTTTCCTTTCTTCTGAAGATGAGTCCTCAAAGATGTTTCTGAGGTTTATGTCATGGAGTATTTTATTTATCTTTTCTTCTATATATTATTTGGCTTCAGGTCTTATAGTTAGAGTCTTTCATCCATTTTGAGTTGATTTTTAATGGTGTAAGATAGTCTAGTTTCATTCTTTTGTATGTGGCAACTAAGTCATTCCAACACCATTTATTGAAAGGCTTTCCTTGTTCCCGTGTATATTATTTGCTCCTTTGTCATAGATAAGTTGACCATATATGTGTCATTTTAAATTTCTGGACTTTCAGTTCAATTCCACTGATGTGTGTGTCTGTTTTTGTTCCAATGCCATGCTGCTTTTATTATAATTAATTGAACATATTATCTCAATTCATTCTCAATGCATATAGTATCCAATTAATATGTATAATATTTAGATTTTCATTATTGTTGCAGAATAGTGCTATTGGGACTAAAATCATGATTTTATATGTTGGAATTATATCCTACCATAGCCACCTTCATGAGTTGCTAAAATAAAACCTAGAATTCTGTTTTCCTCTCTCCACTTAGCTGTATACCTTTCTACCAATACAATATAAATAGAATACATTTTCAATGTGAAAGTCATCAGGCTGAAAAAAAAATCCAGAGTCTTTTGTAATATTTCATGATTAGTATTTTCTCTTCTTTTATGTTCAACTTATTTGTCTCTAATGTAAAAGTATCACTCTATAAACAGCGTATTGATAGTGTTTTCTTTTCCTCTATCCACTCAGATAGTTCTTGTCTTTTCATTTAGTGAGGCTACAATCAGGAGAGAGTGGAAGGGTAAGGAATAAAGAGGGGTTTGGCCAATGGAATATGGTGGAAGATTATGTGCTTTGGTGGTGGGCATTAGGCAGTAATACACCAGTGAAGCAGTGTGAACTTATCCATATATCTAAATCATACTCAGCATTATAAATCAGTGCCACCTCAATAAAATGATACAGTTGCAAAAAAATTTAAGAGTCCAGCAAGATGACAACAGTGTGGAGATTTGGAGTCGCCTACTCCAGACGTGCAAAATGAAACTGAAGCAAAACAAAGCCAAAAACCCCTGAAGATAAAAACTGAGGATCACTATACACAACAAGGGATCTGCCCAACTGAAGGGTAGGAAAAATTCTTTTTTTTAAAGATTTATTTATTTATGCATACAAGAGCTGGGGTACAGGCCAGAGATGCAGGGGGTAAGAGGATTCACCAGAGACAGAGTGGGGTACAGAACAGGCAGTGAAATACACTGCTGAGGGGAGCAGAGGGCGCGACAGGAGAGGTCTGTCTCACCATGTGTGTTGCTCCCTGGCCGGTTGGGGATTGAACTCATGCTGCAGAGGCTGCAGATTGCTTCGTAGTGCAGTGCTTAACCCCTTGTGCCACCCGGGAGGCCCCAGGGTAGGAAAAATTCTGAGTGAACTTTGTTTAAAGTAATAACAGTGCAACACAACCCACTAGTGGTTATAGTGCAGCACCCCCTACAGCTACTGACTTGGACACACAATGACATCAGGGAGTCTAAGATGTGGCCCTGAAGTGGATAAGGGGGTTTAAGAGAAGGCAGTGAGTTTGGAGGGTGCATTTCAGGATAGCTACAGAGGTGAGGGTACAAAGTGAGGACCACTGGCTTGAATCTGAAGTTCATAACACAGAACAGCTGAAGCCTGAATTGAGTAAGAGTACCTGGACTTCTTTATAGAAAACACTATGAGGGCCTCCCCTGCTGTGCTCTGAAGCTGCCTGCAGCCTCAGCAGTGCCGGTTCAATCCCCAGCCGCTGGTGAGGGTCCCACATGGCTCGACAGACCTCTCCTGTCTGGCCCGCTGCTCCCTTTAGCAGTGTATTTCGTCAGTCTGCCTGTTCTGTTCCCTGCTCTGGCTCTAGCGAATTCTCTTATCCTCTCGTGCTTCTGACTGTACCCAGTGCTTGTATAAATAAATAAATAAATCTTAAAAAAAAAAAGAAAACAATATGACTGAGTCCAGGCTGGGGTATCTGAGACACCTGCCACTCCCAGGATGAGATATCTAAAGCACTTGCTACCACCCACAAACAAACACACCAAAAAACAAAACCAAAAACAAACAAACAAAACCCAACAAACCCAAAACAATTCACAATAGGAATTTCAAATTGCCGAGTCTACGGGGGTGATCCTTCCTCCTTCATGTCTGTTGCCCTGCCCTCTTTTATATCCACTACCACTAACTGGCACCAATCTACCGACTACTTCAAGTACAAAAACAGCACTTGAAAAATTATCCCTACTGAGACCTATATGGAATTAAAAATGAGGAGAGAGAAGAATACAGAACAAATGCCAGAATAAGAAAACACTGAAAGGAACCGTGACTCTGGAGTTGCACAGCAGCATGACAAAGGGTAATACAGGGCAACAGTACTGGCATTGAGGATGAAACTTACAAATAATGAAGAATATAAAACAACAGAATAAACACAATAAAATATGAGGCAGCTACAATCAGAAATAATGAAGTTTAGGGGTATAAACAATAGAGCAGGTTTTAAAAATACAACTGAGGACTTAAATATCAAACAAAAAGAAGCAACAGAGAATCAATGAACTAGAAAACACAAAACTGGAGAACACAAGTGTAGGGTAAAGAAAATGTCAGGCTTTTCTGACTTCCCGCCATCAGGATAGATGATGGACCCTTGCAGTCCTGAATGCATGCCTGATGGGGGGCACCTGGAGTAGGGTGTGGGCATAGGTAGATGG